CCTCCCCTCTCCTCTCTCTTCCTATGCTTCTATATGCCACCATTACACATCACTAACTTTGTGTCTCCTCTCTCCCGTAGTGTGTCCTCTCTCTCTCTCCCTGTAACTTTCTGCAGGTTGCCCTGGAGCTCTATATCTCTGACGAGCAGTCACCGGCCACATCGACCTGATCAGTGTTTGATTGTTGTGTCTTGTTGCTTTTCTTCTTTTGTCTCTCCTCTATCCACTCACCCCAACCGGTCGAGGCAGAAGGCCGCCCACCAAGAGCCGGGGTCTGTCGGAGGTTTCTTCCGTTAAAGGGAGTTTTTCCTCCCCACTGTCGCCAAGTGCTTGCTCAAGGGGGATTTGTTGGGTTTTCCCTATGTAATAATATTGATAACAGTAAGGTCTAGACCTTACTTTGTAAAGTGTCCTGAGATGACTTTTGTTGTTGTGATTTGGCGCTATACAAATAAAATTTGATTTGATTTTTTTTTGATTTGACTGAAAACACTGATGCCCTATACAAGAAGGGCCAGAGCCGCCTCCACTTGTTGAGGAGACTGAGGTCCTTTGGTGTGCGCGGGGCACTTCTTCGGGCTTTTTATGATTCTGTAGTGACATCTGCTGTTTTTTACGCTGTTGTGGGTTGGGCGGAAGGTAGCACAGACAGAGACAGAAAGAGACTAAACAAGTTGGTCAAGAGAGCTGGGTCTGTCCTGGGCTGCCCCCTGGATTCCATCGAGGAGGTGGCGGACAGAAGGATGCTGGTAAAACTAACATCCATCATGCACAACCCCTCCCATCCCCTGCACCACACAGTGGAGACTCTGAAGAGTTCCTTTAGCGCAAGACTGTTACATCCCCAGTGTAAGAAGGAGCGTTACTGTAGGTCGTTCCTCCCGACAGCAATCAGACTGTACAACACATCACTGCAGTGATAAGCTAGGTGAAAGTATGAGGGACTATGTAATAGTCAACTGAGGTACAATATTCAAATCCTGGGGTAAGATGAATGGTAAATATGTAAATTCTGTTCTTGATTATTCAAATACTCGATTTTGTCTATTTTTGAGTACTTGGGATTTATTTATCAGGATGTGTGTACGGTGCTTGTTCTCATGGTGTTATGCTGTCTGTTCTCTATTGCTGCTTGAGGTACTGAAATTTGTTATATCAAGATATGTGTGTGGTGTTTGTTTCTCGTGGTGTTATGTTGTTTGTTCTCCAGATGCTGAGCTGGGTCTTTGCTGGATTTCCTCTGGTCTCTCAAAGAAGAAACTCTGAGAAACTTCTCATCAGATCTTGACAGTTTTCTTTGTCTTCCACTCTTATTTTGCCCTTGACCTCTTTGGATCCTTCATATTTCTTTAGAACAGCTTGAATACCCCATCTTGAGCATCCGCTTTGTTGTGATGATTTGTGTTTTTTAATACTGTGTACGTATTTCCTATATTTGATAATAGTATTCTGATGAATACATAAAGTCATCATAGCATTGCTAAAACAACTTGTGCACAGTACTGTATATAGTTTGTTTGGCATGATCCAAACATCCTCAATCTCTCCATCTCTCTCTATATTGATTTTTCTGTTTGAAAATTGGAAACAACAGAGCAGCATGTTCCCTTGTGTTACACAGAAATAACTACAAAACACAAACACAGGCTTAGAGAGAATGAGCTGAATTAATGCACAACACAGATACACACTTGAGGATATTTACTAAACCTGTCACAAATTACCGTCAGGAGCGGAAAATATTGCGGCATTGTAATTTTTCAATTTAGCTGCATATTTACCAAGTCCTATGATGTAAATGAGCACAGCTACAGCTGTGCTCATTTGAATGCACTTCAGCTGGTAAAGACGTGCCTGTACTGTGCACAGATGCACCGAGGGGGGACAGTAGGAAAAAGCATGTTTACGGCGACTGAGCTTTAATAAGGTTGAAGAAATCAACAATGCCATCACATAGTCTTCTGCCAGTCAAGTCCTCTGTCATTGTTAAGGTTTGTAGCCTAAGTGAAGCCTGGTCTGACCTGAAAGCCCCCTCACATTCTTCTCTAGCAGGTGATGTGATTTACAAACACCCTCTTCCTCCTCAAACGTGTTTTTAACTCTGACAAGGTCTCAGATGACTAACAGCTGCCATACTGATAGCAGGGCTGCAAATTTTATATCTGCTTTCTCCTGACGCTGCATTTCAGCCACAGTTCCCTCTGTGGTAAATCAGGTGCTGAGGGTATTTGAATAAATTTCCATTCCCTCCTCCCTGATTTTGCCATCCTTGACAGTGCCTTAAAATGCATCTTGCATGAGACCAAACATGCCAGTTCCTGCTTTGCTGCTATTTTTCTGGGGTAAAGGCCCACTGCAGCTCCTTAGTAAATATGAACACACTTTCACTGTTTAGTGACAAAAAATGAGCTGCAGTTTCTTAGTAGATCCCACTATGTGATATCAGCTCAGTGAGGAACAAATCCCAGTGTGGCCGCAGCTGTGTTTGCTGAGTCAGACCACCATAGAAAATGAGAGCATCTGGATTCAAACATTTGTCTGAATATGGAAAGAAACAAAGTACAAAAGACCTAATTATTAAATTATAATTTGTTTTAATCATGAGCAAACTGTATGAATATGTTTCTCTTCCTTCCTTTCCCCTGTTTCTCTCCCTGCTGTGATAAAGATGTGTTCAGTATTCAGTCTGACTCCTCTGACATGTAAGACTAGATAGAGTAAACACTTTGGGATTAAAAATATGGAAAGGGTGTCAGCACACGAGCTGATTTAAAATGATTCACTTTTATCAAACCTTTGATTTATAGTTATACCCTTTAAAATTTGATGCTTTTTTTGTGTTACCACTATTTTTGTCCTTTGCAAACTGTGTGTAAAGGTTTCCTCGTCTCCCAGGCGTTTTTCATCCTTTCATCATGATGTCTGAGAAGTTGACACTTTAAGGCTTCAAAATGCTAACGGAAATAAATGTTAGTAAATATTACTGTGGTTTATTCATTTTCATCCTTTCATTCCCATTTCATCCCTAGCTTTCCTTTCCTCCTTTTTCTCATTTTGTTGGCCTTACTGTTTACAGTGCTTCACTTACACCACCCTCATTTTCACTCTTCCATTTCTCTAATAACCATCTTCTTTGTTTATTTACTATTGCATCTCCTTAATGTTTTTATCCCACTTTCCTTGCACCGTACCTCTCTTTTGATTCCTTTTTTAGTTGTTCCTATACTTTCTATGATTCTTTTCTTTCAAATTCTCCTTTTGTGGAGTCATTACCTCATTATTTTTAAATGGCAGCGGTCTCATTTTGAAGCAGCACATCTTCTTTACTTCCAAACAGTTTCTTGTCGCTGTGAAAAATGAGAAGTTAATAGGCTTATGAATAGTACATGATGAGGTGTGTGTGCACGTTAGTTTGATTGGCATCTAGAGAAAATGTGATGAAATGACAGCTCAATCAGCTGAATTATTCATGGTGTCGGTGACCATTCATTTACATCAGTGAGATTATCGAGCAGTATATCGGCTTTTCTTAAGCTTCTCACAACTAAAAGGCATGCTTTTTTAACCTTCTGAACTTAATTGATGTAGTTTACCTTATGAAAATTACACCTTATGTTCAGATTTGTAAGTCAGTAATAAATACAGACATCCTACACATTTTAGTAAAATCAGCACAACCCAGTCTTTTCAGTGACAGTGTCCATAGTGGTTAATGAACATAAACCCACTTAGAAATCATAATGCTCATAATTTAAGGGATATAGACATTTTCTTCACTATCAGTGTAATCCAGTTGGTTGTCATCTGCATGTCAGTGCAAACAGGAACTGCTAACTGAGATTATCCACCATATAATGAAATACATGCTACAAAACGGTACAATGCATCCAAGACTTTAATTGACAGTGTTCAGAAAACATGTTTAAACTTCATGCATTTGGAAGGTAGCTGCTATTGTATGTGACCAGTGTTCCTTCCTACTGAGAAAAAGTCTGAGCACTTGTCAAAGTACAACCAGATATCACATCTATTTCTGCTACTGTGGGTGTAGAAATTGGTCGTTCTCTCGCTCCTACTGTGCAATAAATTTCTTCCTGTATTATTGCTGAACATCAGTGGCTAGAAGTATTTTCTTTTTCATTTTGAAAATCCTCCTGTCCTTCTGTGGTTTGTTTCATTCACTGTTATTCTGTGCACCACCAAATTAAAGGCAGGTAATGTGATGGACAAAATGGCTGCTGTACTGTTGTACTGTGTGGATATATACTGTATGTGTGAGTTTGTCTTCACATGGGTATAAAAGCCTGTATGCCACTGGCTCGTGTGCGCAGGTGTTCCAAACTTGCAGTATGTGGTGTAGCAGTGGGTGTGTGTGTTGTGTGTGTTGATATAACACAGAAGGGCTGCAACACGACAATTTCTCACCTATTGCTGGAGTCCATTAAGTCTCCACCTTCTATGGTCACACCATATTTGTGTTTGTTGTTGTTTTCTTTTCTTCTTCTTCTTTCTGACAAATGCACTTTACTGCTGCTCAGGACTGAAGGGAGCATTGTTTGTTTGCTAGTGTATGTGTGCAAATGCACAAAGATAGGTGGTATGCTGGGGGGGTAGCCTTCCTGTGCACTGAGTTGTTTTTATGAACTGAAAAATATTTGAAACACTCTGTTCCTTTCAGAATCACCTTCTGCACAAACAGCATGAGATCCAAAAGGCTTTTTCTCAGATAATATTAGGGGTCAGGCAGCTGGGACAGTAACAGCATGTGTAACGATCAATGTCAGAACTTATGTGTATTAAAAGACAAATCACAATCAACCCCAAAATGTGAACCTGAGGGAGATTTGCCTCCACAGAGTGTAATCAAAGTTTGGCAAAGAAACCTGCCTGGTAAGGGAAAGACACATTACATTAATTTTTGTTATTAATTTATTTGCAGTACTGGTGCTGCACGTTAGCTGTCACAGTCTCTGCCCCTTGTTTTCCTGTCATGTTAGATGCTGATGTCTTTGTTCACCGTTCAGACTCTTGTCATTTCCTCTGCCCACACTCACCTGCATTCTATCTGTGCAGCTTGCGTTGACTCTTTGCCAGTTTGTCCGTGACAAAGTGCCCAGTGTGTCTTCTCAGCTCTCCAGCCCTGCAATCTTGTCTTTGCCTTCATGTTTCTCCGTGTATCCACGATTTTGCCAGGCTGTGTTTTACTTGTGTTCAGAGGCTTCATTCAGCAGCTTTATGCCATATTCTGTCTACTGTGATCACATCCAGACCTGGTGTTTCTTCTGGTTCAGATTAGTCTTCTGTTTTCTGTATTAAGTGCTGTCTGTCAAACCTACCTGCCTAAATGTATACTTACAGCCCTGCTTAATTATATCAGGCATCTTGAGCTTAATTTTTCCCCTTTAGTGTTTAAGGAGTTAGGCCGTGCTCATAGCAGCTGCACACAGTCTGCATGTGAGGGTCCAAAGCTACACCAAACTGCTCTGTAACTGAGGTGTGCTTCCTCAAAAATGTACTGTGAATATATGTCAGGCTTACAGACTTTACAGAGGGAACCCATGGAGATTGTGAGATGTGTGATTGGTCGGCTTGGTCGTTCCTAAAGGTTTCTGATGTCAGAGATTGTTGGTGCATGTTGAAATAAACACCTATCTTTTTTTTGTTTTAATAGCACATATTTAGCAAAGCCATTTCCACTGCAAGCTAGTTTTCTGCAACCCTAACTCTCTATTACAATGAATGAAACACATTGTGATTGCATGGAAAAGACCCAAGTTCAGTAATGAAGCAAGACGGATCTTCCCACTATCACTCGTATTGCAAAGTAAAAAGAAAATGCGTAAACACCATTATTTGGACTATAATTAAAGCATGATGCATTCTGATTACATAGGATACATACACAGCTGATATTCATGGCAAGGTCCTCTTAACTATGGCGTTGACCATAAGACCAGTTTATATGATTGTATTTAATTTCATTTGGATACTGTCTGAGACAAATGGGCCCAAATTTCAGTTGGAACTGACAACAAGAACTTATGCGTGTTATGTATTGTTGCGCTAAGCTTTTGTACTGAATGTAGAACATCTCAGTTTATTCCTTCCCACAATGAGATGTTGCACATGCTCCTGTTTGATGTTCATTAACTCCCACATCCAGATATGTGAAGCATTGTATAATGTCTGTGTGGAGAAACAAATTATTTATATGCTA